CACCACCCAGCTGTCCATCAACTGTCCCATCTGGCTACTGGCCACCTCTCAGAGGAGGGGGAGGGCCTGAGCCCTGAGATGAGAAGCTGGTGGTCTGGGCCCTCTTTGCTCAGAGCACTGGGGTCTTGGGAGGGCTTTCTGACAAGATCTGCTGAGCCGCCCAGTGATGGTATAAAAGAAGTCACTTTGAAACGGAACTGGCTCAGGGCACAAACACTGGCTGGAAAGGTCTTCCCTCGAAGCCAGAACAAAGGCAGCTGGAGGAGGGCGCTCAATTTGGCCAAGGCTGCCCAGGGAGGGCAGGCTTGGGGATCCCACGAGCTCACTGTCCTCTGGCTGGCTCCTGTACTTCTTGGCCAAGCAAGGCTAGTGTGAACGCGTTAACCCTTCCCTGCATGCAGCACCCAGGGAGACAGGTCCAGCTACAGGGGGTGAGTTAGTTAATTGTGCCAGCCTGGCCGATAATCACATGTGGGGCTGGTTGAAAGGCGGAGGGATAAATGGGTGGTGAAGCCTCGCCTTTCTAGTTCTCGGGTCTCTTGTTTTGTGATGGTTGCATCGGGTGCAGCTGCCTTAGCAGTTCCCTGCTTCAGCTTGCAAGATGGATTTCCTACAAGACATCCCCAAGAAGAAGCCGCATGGATCTATCCCGATGCAGCCCTGGGTGCTGGAGCAGCCGTGTGGAGACCCCTGCCAGTGCTGAGATGCTTGTTCGTTCACTGACTCAGCTTTCCTCCTGCAGTCGGCATTATTGCCTCTGTTTAGTGAGGTGAAGGACTTTGTGGACTGGTGTTGGGTTAATGGGTTAATGTTGGACTTGTGGGCTTGGGCAGCATTGGGTTGGGATGTTTTCGTGATGCACATTTTCCTTACATAAAACTCTCTCTTATACGTGAGTCGCCGTGGATTTGTTTCTCCAAAGTACCCAGACTAATACAGGGGGCAACGGGGCAGGGTACTGCCGCCATCAGACCATGCTCCGCTTGCTGTTCTGAAAGCCCACTCATGACGGAGGTGGCCAGGGGCCAGGAGTGGCCTGCCTGAGTCCAGGAGGAGTGGTGGTGCGGGGAATCAATTCATTGAGGCGAAGTCACTCCTCTACCTCTGGGGAGGAGTCCAGGCGGCGGTGTCACCAGTTTATAATCATTGTTCATCAGAAGGTTGGCAGTTTGAGCCCACCCCGTGGCTCTGCATAAGAAAGGCCTGGGAAACTGCTTCCACAAAGCTTAGAGCCAAGAGAACCTGACAACACCGTTCCAGTCAGGAGCATGTGAGGGGCCGTGGTTGGAATGGGCTTAATTGCAAGGGTGTTGGTTTGGGTATTTTTGAGACGAGTCTGGCTTTGAAGCTGCCCATGAATCTAGCCCCAAATAGAACCTCTCTCAGCTTCTTAAGAAGCCTCGAAACCTCATCCTCTGGCCGTGTCCCTGTAAGACCTGTCTCATAAGAAACCTTCCGTGGGAGCCTGTATCCTAGCGATTGTGTGTTAAGTGACAGCCTCACAACCCCTGCACAGGTAACAAGGGTCGGAATTGACCCCATGGCAGTTGGCTCGGTTATCTTTCTTTCTTTTTCAGATGTGTCGGGGGGAGTCCTTGGGTGGCAGGCATGGTTAGCATGCACGGTGGCTCTCTGAAAGGCTGGCAGTCTGAGTCTACCCAGAGATACCGAGGAAGAAAGGCCTGGTGACCTGCTTCTGATAAACCAGCCTCTGAGCCCCTCTGGAGCACAGCCCTGCCCTGGCACGCGCGGGTTACCAGGAGTCAGAACCGGCTAGATGGCAGTTAGCTATGTGTCAGGCAGGCCCTGGGCTGGGTGCCTTCTGTTATCATTAGCTCACTTTGCAGAACACTCCGGCTCAGGGCAAAGTGTCTTCTTGCCTTAGGTCACTGCAGCCAGGACGTCGTGATGTCAGCATTGGAACCCAGGCCTGCCAAGCTCCAGACACAGAACTTCAAGTCAGCAAAGGCCCGTCCACTCATACCTCTCTCCGACAGCGTCGAGCCAGCCCTCAGCAGGCCCTGGGGACCGCTGAGCGAGCGGGTCCCATCACAGGCGGGGTGCTCTCACTGTGCATTTAGCCCTGTACCTCCAGCAGCTGGAGTTGACTTTAGCATCTGTCACATAAGTGAGTCCAGCGTGGCTCTCCCTGCCTGGTGCCCACACCCTGGGACACGTCTGCTGGCTCCCAGCAGGGCTGCAGACACTGGGTGAGGGGGTACCCAGTGGCCTTCCAAGGTCGCTCTTGGGAGACAGCCAACTCACACGTCGTGATCGGAGAAGGGTTGGAGGGCTGCCATTTAAGTCCCAGGCCCTCTGGATCCCACGGGAGAGGATGTGGTTCAGCTGAATCCCTTTCTGCGGGCACGCTGTCCGGAGAGACCAGTCCCAAGAAAGGGCACCAAACTTGGTAAAGCAGAGGGCCGGTGAAACGGCGCAAGGCCTTCAACAAACTGGATGGACAGACCCAGGGGCCGAGACAATGGGGTGCTGCACCCTGTTGCACAAGGCGTCGCCATGAGTCCAAACCGAATCAATGCCCACCGACAGCCACTCCCCGTGCAGACCCCCTCTGTTCCATGGGCGGTCTCAGCAATGGCTTAGCCCCTGCTGCTTGGCTTCAGAAACCAACCTCTCCCATCCCCACCCACTCCCTGCAAACTCCCAGCAAACTGAAAAACCAACCTCTCCCATCCCCGCCCACGCCCTGCAAACTCCCAGCAAACTGATCATGTCCCTGGATTACAACACAGCTTTGAGGAGAGCCATTGCAGCAAGTGTTCCCAGACTAACATGGGGGGGCCGGGGGACGGCCTGTTCTCCAGGCAGGCAGGGCAGCAAGGCCCCTCAACTTGAATCCTCACCCTTCACACGTGCCGTTAGCGAAACCATCATCCGCCTCCCTTCTGACTCAGTACACTTCTTGGGAATCTCTCCCAAGAACGAAAGCTTATGCAGAGAGGCGGGGGTTGCTGTGTTATTTTTAATAGCCCCAGCTGGGAACCACCTGAATGTCCGACATGAGTGGGATGGTTAAATAAATGAGGGCACATCCACGCAAATAAATGTCACCATGAGAAACATCCAAGAACACGTTTAGAAAAACATTTTATGATGCAACACGAAGCCAGAAAGAAAGGACATAAATTGTGCATGAAGAGCACCAAGCAGGGCACGGAAGATCTGAAGGCAACGAGCCATAAAGGCCGCAGCTGGGAGGCTAAACAAGCTAGTTCACGGTGCTGTGGGCTGCTAACCACAAGGTCAGGGGTTCAAACCCACCAGCTGCTCCATGGGAGAAAGATGAGGCCGTCTGCGCCCATAAAGATTTAAAGTCTCAGAAACATTATGTCGGCTGGCTAAGGACCAAAATGATCCTTAGAAGTGAGGATGGCGAAATGGTCTCACGTACTTTGGGCATGGTGGCAGGGAAGACCAGTCCCTGGGAAAGGACATCGTGCTTAGGAAAGTCGGGGGTCAGGAACAACAGGACAGCCTTCGATGCGATGGAGTGACGCAATGGCTGCAACGACGGGCTCAAATGTAACAATTGTGGGGATGGCACAGGACCAAGCAGCATTTCCTCTTGTGTAGAGACAGGGTCACTATCAACGGCACCTAACTACAGCTACAGCAATATGTGTGTGGGCAGACTGGATGGCAGCGGAGCCCTGGTGGCATTATGGGTTAAGCAGTTTGCTGTTAACCACAAGGTTGGTGGTTCAAACCCACCAGCCACTCTGAGGGCCAGTGATGAGGCTGTGTGCTCCTGTAAAGACCGTCAGTTTCAGAAACACAGTAGGGCGTTCCACTCGGTCCGAGAGGGTCCCGAGGAGCTAGAATTGACTGGACTGGTGGGTTTCGTGTGTGGTCCTCGTTTCAGAACTTCCCTTTTCCTCTGACACACCTGTGATGCCCAGAAGGGGGTTCAAACTCCTCAAGGGGGAGAGGTATTCAGGACAGGCAGAGGGCTGAGGTGCGGGCTGGTTAGAGCGAGGGGAGGGGGGCCTGTGCTGTCTTCCTCGTAGCAAACTCTGACCGGGTTGTGTCAGTGGTGCCTGTCCCAGCCAACTTTCTTTGTTAATTCCCTCTCAGACCTGGTTCCTGACCCTCGGAAAGCTTGCATCTCTGAGGAGCAGGGATACAGGCAATGCGTTTCCCACCTCCAGCCCCAGACAGTGCCTGTCTCCAGGGAGGAAGGATGCCAGGTTATCCCCAGAGTCTCCTGTGAAAGACCTGCAGAGACGAGAGCTGACAACTCCGCGGGTGTGAAATGAATCTGAAATCCGAGGCTGTGCCCACACCTTGTGGGAGCAGCTTTCAAGGCTTGGGGTCAGAAGGACCCAGAGGCGGGGTGGGGAATGCAAAGGCACTGACGACAAGGGAGGCTGCAAATCTTTGCAACAACTGCCAAGCTGCCCAAGGGCGGCAGCCTTATGTGCCCACACTCTCAGCCACGCTCACCAGCTGCTCCCAGGGAGAAAGACCGGGCTTTCTACTCCCGTAAAGAGTCACAGCCTCAGAAACCCACGGGGGCAGTTCCACTCTGTCCTGTAGGGTCGCAACGCGTCAGAAGTGACGCAGGGTGCAGCATGGCAGCAAGTCAGGCTTCTGTCAGCACAGGGGAATCTTTCACCCAAGACTCAAAAGACAGCACAAACACCCCAGTTCATGTATCGCCCACCCTGGAGAGGTCCACACTTAAAATTCAGGTCTCTGAGTCCTTCCTCAAGCCACCCCTTCTCCGGGGAAACATCCCGCCCCATCTCCCACAGTCCCCACGCCCACCTGCAGGTTTCTCAGCTTTAACACCTACAGGATGAGTCTATGCAAGGAGGTCTCAGGGGTTGGAGACAAGCACTCCCCTACGAGAGCCCCGGGTCAGGAGGAAGAGGGACATGAGCTAGCAGGTGAGGAGCTGAAGGTCAAATTCCACTTGGCCACCAAGGCAGCGGCTGCGGCCGGTCTCCCCTCCATCAAAGCGGTGCAGGTCCACTCACCGAACATGCTGCCCTCGTAGCCGTCTTTGGTTAGCGGACGAAGCTCGTTTTTCCCCATGGCGTAGCGCGTGTAGCTCTGCCAGGCAAACTGCATCATCTGCAAGAGAGCGGGGACACAGAGAGCCTCAGCGAGGCAGGCCCCCACTAGCAGGGCCGACCAGCTGGCTTTGTCTGTTTGCCGCTGGGTTTTCAGCCAGAGCCCAGAAAGAACCTGCTGCGTTTTCCAAAGCGAGGAAGGCAACTGTGGGGGTCACTCTTCTGGGCAGTTCCCAGAGGAGGTGCAGAAAGCTCGAAGGTCGGCTCTCTCCATCCTTCAACGCCAACCACGGTGCCAAACCACCTCTTCCACGAAGCCTCTCCGTCTCCCACTGGCCTACAGTACGGATCACAACCCAATGGAAAGACCCTCACAATCCTCACCACGGGACCACCAGATAACATGCCCAACGGAGGGAAGACTGTAGCTGCCGAGATGTTGTCTTGCTTGGATCCACAATCAGTGCTCATGGAAGCAGCAGGCAGAGATCACAGGGTGCGCTGCACCGGGTGAATTGCCACCCAAGACCTCTTTAAAGTGCCGAAAAGCAAGGATGGCATTTTGAGGGCTACGGTGCGCACGGCCCAGCCAAGGCAGCTTCAATCGCCTCACATGCATGTGAAAGGTAGACACTGACTACGGGCGCTCAAAGGAGAATCAGTGTGTTTGAATGATGGGGCGGTCAGAGAACACTGAAAGTACCCCGGGCTGCCAAGAGAACAGACAAACGTGTCTCAGAAGAGGTACAGCTCGGCAGGGTTCTCAGCCTTCCTCATGCCGAGATCCTTTCATACCGTTCCTCGTGTGCTGGTCACCCCCAACCATCACATCATTTTTGTTGCTACTTCATCACTGTCATTTTGCTACTGTGATGAATCATCATGTCAATTTCTGATATGCAGGATGTATTAAGCGACCCCTGTGAAAGGGTCGTTCAACCCCCAAAGGGGCGTCCACCCACAGGTTGAGAATCGCTGGGCTAGCGTGCTCCTTAGAAGCAAGTTTGACGAAGCTTTGTCTCACATACATGTTACCAGGAGAGACCAGTCCCTCGAAAAACACATCATACTTGGAAGACTAGAAAGTGACAAAAGTCCTTGACAACATGGGTTGGCACGGTGGCTGCCACAAGGATTCAAACAACGTGCGGATGGCGCAGGACCGGGAGGTGGTTCCTGCTGTTCCCACAGAGGGTCCATAGGAGCCACAGCACTTAACACCAGCAAGGCAGTCCTTGGAAGGGAAGGGATCCTCTAGGAGCCAATGACTAGCTGCTCACGTGACCTTAATCTAACAGAACCACCTGCTGTTAACGCCATCCCGGAGAGAAGACGACGGTGCTAAGACATGAGATAGCGTGCCAGAGGCTCCCTGGCGAGTCAGAGAGCTGGAAGCTGAGTCCCCCTCCCCCCACGCCCGACTCTGAAGCCCAGCCCAGCCCTGAGAGTCCCCATTGGTTCTTACTGGACTCCCTGGACACTGGGTTTGATCTGCCCTGGCCGCAGGCTCTTCCTCACCACGTTGTTTCTTGTTTCCCTGGTTGTGGACCATGGGCTTCTCCTAGAGGCCAGAATCTACTCTTGCCTTACCTCCGGGTACCCCATAGCACCCAGCACGGGGCTCGGCACAGGTGGGCTTCACCCACTAGTTGTCGACTTCTCACCAGTGGGGACAGAGCGTGGGTTTGCAGTACATCAGGCAGCTCCTCTCAGCCCCCGTAGGCGTATCATTCAAGCTCTGGGCTGGGCAGAGCTGGCTGCCCTTGGCACAGCAGTCTGATGGCAGCGTGTGGCCACCCTCTCACACCTGCACTGTCCCCCTAGGCCTCCCATCTTTGCCTCTGAGCAGCAGGCTCTGGGGACCGGTGAGAGTAGAGGAGGTACTCAGGCACAGCACAGGAGCCGATGAGAACTGTCAAAGACGTGGGCTTGTGGCCACAGAGGCATGGGTTCTAATCCCACCTATGTTCCTCGGCCACAATCTTTATGACTTTGGCAAGTGATGGAATGTCTCCAGCCCCAGTTCCCCACTCTGTGAGGTGGGGGTACTAAGAAGTGGTTTGTCACAAGGATTACCTCTGTGTGTGTGTGTGTGTGTGTGTGTGTGTGTGTGTCGGGGGGGTGGGGGCACACTGGAAAAGCCCAGCTCCTCGCCTGCACGGCAGGTGCTAGTTCTCTTCCTGCTTCAGCCAGCACAAGTCCCACCTGGCCCCGGCCTCAGCCACCCACCCTCCTCCCGCCCCTCAGTCAGCTTCTCCGGAGATCACTGCATGGGAGTCACCTGGGAGACTCGGTGTACCGGTGTTCCTGATGCAACCGGAGAATTGGCCTTCCTAACAAGTTTCCAGGTGATGCCGCTGGCCCTTGGGCCACAGGTGAGAACCAGTGACCCATTAAAATCCAGTTCATTCCAATTCATATTAAACCCCTACAGAAGGGTTCTCAACCCGTGGGTCGCGACCCCTTTGGGGGGTCGAATGACCCTTTCACAGAGGTCGCCTGATTGGTCACAGTAGCAAAATGACAGTGATGAAGTAGCAACAAAAATAATGTTATGGTTGGGGGGTCACCACCACATGAGGAATTGCATGAAAGGGTCACAGCATGAGGAAGGTTGAGAACCACTGCTCTATGGGGTTTCTAAGACTGTCCATCTATATGGGGCACATGGCCGCTTCGTTCTCCCATAGAGTGGCTGGTGGGTTTGAACCGCCAACCTTGTAGTCAGCAGTCCGAGGTCCAGCCCACAGCACCCTCCTTTCCACTTCTCCCCTCACTCGCAGACCTGCACCCTCTGGCTCTCCTCCTCCCGCCCATTTCCACCTCAGCCCTTTTTCGGGCACCCTTAGGCCCGCTGCTCCTGGCCCATCTGGGTAGTCACTCCAGGCATGCCTGTGGGTGTGGGGACTGGGGGGCAGCACACTGGGTCGAGGGCCCACGCTTTCTGAGAACCGGCAGAATGCACCATTTTACAGGGGAGATGGGCGGCCAGGCTGCAATCCAGGTCTCTGGACTCCCACGCTAGCAGAGCCCGCCCCCGTGCCTGGCAGGACATGTGGCGCCTCATGTGACACACATGCAAATGTCATGGTAACGCATGCCAAGCGCTTGGCACGGGCTGCGATTCCTGGTTCTATTCCTCTGTTATTTTCTACTTATCTTGAATTGGCAATAACGGGAAATAATTGCTGGGTATGAGTGCTTGGGGGTCGACTGGCTTTGTCCCTCTGCCTCTCTTATCTGGGGGGTTCAGTCCATTGAGTCAGGGCGCAGTGGGGGGTGGCTGGGTGGGAGGGAAGGAGGCTGTGCCTCTTAGAGCCTCAGTGAGGGCAGGGAAGAGGAGGGCAGGGTCTGTAGTGGGAGGACTGCACCCACCCTCAAAGGTGCTCCTGCTGGAAGTGCCCCGGAGCAGCGGGTGTGCAGGTGTCAAGGAGAGACTCATAAAAGGAGCTGTCACCGCGGGTCTGGTGGTGTGTGGCAGAGGTGGTCCGTTCCTGCAGTCACCCATGGCAACAGAGGGGAACAGGAGTGCCAACAGTCCCCACCTCACTGGAACTAGATGCAGGGGGCTCGGAGCTGCCTCGCGACCACACACCTGCGCACGGCCACACAGGCACTCAGGTGGACACCTGCCTCCCACCTGGAGCCAGCAATGGCATGGGGTGGGCAGGGAAGGTGCCCCAGGTGGACCTAACTCACTGGGCAGGGCCCTGGGTGGCACTGGTGGCTCATAGTCACGCAGTGCACTGTGAATGACCCGGCCTGTGATCTGTTTCTGTAAGGATTAAACCTGCCACCAAGTCGACCACAGCTCACGGCGACCCTTTAGGGCAGAGCAGACCTGCCCCTTTAAGTGTCTGAGGCTGTCAACCTTTCTTCTGCAGAGTTGGCAATGTTGACCTTGCCACTAGAGAACCCGGCACATGACCCGCGAGGCCACCAAGGCTCCTTCCGTAAAGGTTACTGTGCTAGTCTGCGTAGACCGACGAGAGAAGCAAATTCACAGACACTCACATGTGCATGAGAAAGAGCTTTACACACGAGCAGTCGAATGTTGAGAAACCCTCCCAGCCCCGTCCAGATCATTCCATAAGTCCGGTATTAGCCCATATGTCCAACACCAATCTATGAATTCCTCTTCAGACTCACGAAACACATGCAATGACAGAGAATGCAGGGAGATCACAGCCCAGTGGATGGAAAGTCTTGTGGATCCAGTGGCGGTAGAAGCATCTCAGAGCCGGCAGCGGTCTCCATGTGGCTTCTCCAGCTCCAAGGCTCTGACTGCCATCAGCCTGTCTCCACGTGGCTTGTCAATAAGAATGTCTCCCAGGGACTCAGCCTCCAAAGAGCTATTTATCTCCTTAGTGCCTCCAAATGAGGTCACCAAGCTGTGACATGCTTGACAGGCCAAGCTCCACCCCTTCACCCGCAAGTCTCAAATTGACAATAGATTACATAACTTCCACAGCAGCCAAAAAACAAACAAACACACTGCCATCGAGTCAATTCGGACTCATAGCAACCTCATAAGGCAGAGTAGAATGGTCCCTATGGGTTCCAAGACTATAAATCTTTACAGACATAGACTCATCTGTCTCCCTCGGGGCAGCTGGCGGGTTCAAACCGCTGACCTTGTGGTTAGCAGCTCCATTCATTACCCACTACACTGCCAGGGCTGCTTCTGTGACGATCACAGCTGAGAAGACCCTATGGGCAGTCCTGCTCTGGAACATACAGGCACTGGCAGTGGGAGTTGACTTGCTGGGTCCCATCAACAACTTATCCTCAACAAGTCCCGCCGGGCTTCCTGTCCTGTGCTCAGGCTGCACCCCTGGTGGGAGCACTGTCCCGGCCACTACCCTGTCCTCCCAGCCACGGCTGCTCTTCCACCAGGTCCCAGCGGAGAGGGCACTTTTTCAGGAAGGCCCCCTCCCACCTGCAGTCCTGCTGCAGGGTCCCACAACAGCCAGCTGCCAAATGTCTGTGCTTGAAACTATTTGGTTAACAGCACTGCCCCCGACCCCAGGCCCGGCTCCTTCAGGAACTGGCCCATAGGAA